CAACCTACGTCCTCGTCTCTCTCTCTCTCTCTCTCTCTCTCTCTCTCACACACACACACACACGAATCCTCTACGCGGCGGATACAGACACCATTCCGGAGAAATTTAAATTTATCGCGCCCCTCCAGCCGACCACTCTTGTTCGTCTCTCGATTATTAACGTTAATTCGAACGAAATCGAATCAATCCGTTTCATCCCGTTACAAGGGACTGCGAACGAGAGAGGAATCCGTGGTGGAGGAGAAAAATTTCGTCACGCTTTCCATTATTCGCCTTTTTTTTTTTTTTTTTTGTTTCCCACGCGAGATTCCTCTAGAAATTTATCTCGAACGCTTCGAACGACGACAGTCGCCTCGTCGTTTCGTTAATTCGACCGATTTAAATTCGACTTAGGCTCCATTCACGGGGAAAGGGGGAGGAGGGGGGAGGGGGGGGGGAGAAGGGGCTTTCTTCGATCGCGATACACACACATACGTACGAGATGGAGGAGAGGAGGACGTGTCGCGCGACGGAAGGACGCGATTATTTGCGACGAGGAAGAAGAAAAAAAGTGAGCAGGCCGGATTCGTTATTACTTTAATTGGAATCCATTTGACTGGCTGGTACGCCGGTGCCACGGGTGGAGATACACCCGCTCGTGTCTGGCGTCGATTACAGAAACCCTTTCTAATAAGCGAGGGAATATTCAACAGTCGGTTGAAGGGAACGGTCCGGTGCTACCAAAATTATGGTAAGTCGATCCCTGGTTTACTCCGTGTTTCGCTCCCGCCTCTCTTTCCGTTTCTCGATGTCTCGTATTCTCTCTCTCTCTCTCTCTCCTCTCTCTCGTTGGAATTGGAAATTAATTCCTCGCAATGAGGCGGCCGGTTCCGAGTCGATGAAAATTATCCGCGGAGAACGGAGCGATCCGGTTTTTGGTATTCGTTTTCATTTATATTGTTTCCGTCTTTATATCTTGTTTTCGATACGTTTCTACTCTCCGACCTTGTTTCTTCCCCCCCCCCCTTTTTCCCCTTCTTTTCTTTTTTCAATTTCACGTAACGATTCCTCTGCCTCGAAGATATTTAATTAAATTTGTAGCTACGACAACAGTTAAAAAGAAACAAGAATAACAACTTCTTGGATACACCTTTCTCTTTCCTTCAACGGACGATCAATTGGAAAGAGCACCAAGATGGATATTGGATATCATATTTAGGAGATCATCATCCTATTAATTACAAAATAACTTATATACTTTATTATCCCTCCCCCCGTTGTACGATTAATTAATCGCCCCTCTCTTCTTCCTTTCCAAACATTTTATTATTATTATTATTATTTTTTTTTTTTCTACCACGTACCTATTCCCTTTTCCTCGAAGATATTTAATTACGCTCGAACGATATAAAATAATAATACGATAACAGTAATTACCGTTGCCCCCCCTCTCTTCCTTATTTTCTTCTTTTTACAACCAGGGGAGGAGAGGGAGGGGGAAATTAATAGGGACAAACGACAAGCAAAACGAGAATCACGTCGGTTCAATCGAAAGAGATATCGCCCGCGTTATTAATTACGAAATAACGAACTCGTTTACACCATCCGGGCAGATATCCGGTTACGGGTATCCACGGTTTTCTGAAATAACATCGAACCGAGAAGCCGGTGTGCTCCATTATTGTTTGTTGCCGTAACTCCGACTCCACGTTCGGATGTTTACTTTCGGGCGGAACAAGCGTTTTGCTCGTTGGTAACGCAGACCGCGTTCCCTGTCTTCCATCAGAGAATCATCTCTGAAAAATCTGGCTAAAAAAAAAAAAAACAAGTCGGAACTCTCCCCTCCCCCCATTCAATCCCGGTCCCATTGCCGTTTTTCCGGCTCTCCGGTTCGCGGCGAACAAACTCGCTGAATTTTTCAACAGACTCCGAGAATGAAAAATTTGCCGAGCCACGTCTCTTCCTCCCCTCCTTTAAAAATCGTCCCTGCCGATTTCGATCTTCGCGCCTCCCTCCCAACTGGGTCGAGAGTTATACAAGGAAATACACTTTGATTGAAATTTAAATAAGGGACGGGAGAGGAAGAAGAGAGCATCGAACAAAAGGAGGCCGGGCGAGGCGTTAAATACCGGGTTTCAATTATTCATCGGATAGTTGATAACAATGACTACCGGTTTTGAGGATGGAACAAAAGGGGTAAGCGTGGCCACGGTCTTCAAAACTTTTCCAAAGAATGAATGGCGGCTCGAATGGTGGAAATGGAGTACAAAAGTGACAATGAGAAATCAGAGAGGGAAGAGTTCTTCTTCTTTGTTCTTCTATATCTACGTTCTTTTTTTTTTTTTTTTTAACAGTATAGATACAGAGGAGATGGATCGAAATATTTTCGTATCTGCTTTAATCTGATCTGATTTGTAAAATTTTATTACAACATTTTGGAAAAATTAATTTAAAAAAAAAAAAATAGGTAACGGAGAAAGTAGTGTTTTTAACGGGAAAATTAAAAACGAGAACGAATCAGACTGTCTCGATACAACGTCTCGAATCGTGAAAAAGAAAAAAAAAAAAACCTCGCGCTCGAGGCAACGAAAAGAACTTCCTGGCAAAGTCGGAATACTTTCCCCTTCGAAGAACGATTCATCGTTAAAGGGAGAACGCCAAGAGTCGGCCAGGATCGGGCAACTTCCGGTGAACGGGTGTTCACCGAGAAACCATCCGTGGAACCAGCCGAGGAACGCAAATATTTAACGAAGAATTTATCAGCGGTGTCTGAGTCCGTGGCCACCGTGACGATTCACCGAGACGAAGAAGACTCCTCTCTCTCTCTCTCTCTTCTCTCTTTTCCTATATTGAAAGAAGCCGAGAGGAGCTCGCTCTCTCTCTCTCTCTCTCTCTCTCTCTCTCTTCACTTTTACAAGCGTTGCCACCCTCTCCCCGGCGTCTTGTCTTCCGTTTGATCTTTGCTCGCAGTATTTTTTGACGGCGAGTCGAACAATTTGTATGCCGCGCTGCTTTTCAATTTACATTTAAATTGGTTGCTTATGGCGTTCTGTCGTCTCGACAGGAGTCGAAGTGCAGCCGGGAGCGCAACACGGCGAGGATACGCGCCTCGGGAGCGGAGGGACAAAGAGAGGGGGTGGGACAGAGAGAGGATGCACCGCGTAACTCCGCGCGCAAGGGGGACGGACAGAGAGGAGGAAGGAGAGGGGAGGAGGAGGAGGAAGCAGGTGGAGAAGGGACGTCCTCTTGGTCGAACAGTCAAATACTGAAACGGCCTCGAGAGGAGAGACGCCGAGTACCGCGCGCTGAGCAGCCGAGTTCATCGCACCGTGGCGACGTACAGCTCCGCGTTTTTGCGCGCGCCACGGGAACGCGTGTGCACGGTGGAGAGAGACCGTATCTATAAACCACGAGGAAAACGTTTTTCGGGATAGGAGACGCGGTGTTCGAGCCGAAATCAAGCGTGGCGTTGCGCGATTTTCGAGAATCCTATCGTTTCTTGCTTCTGTCCATCTGTGGATACATCGTTTCCTCTACTTCTTTTTTTTTTTTTTTTTTTTTTTTTTCGGT